AGCCTCAGCAGGGACTAGCAGGCCTGCAGCTTTCATCCTGCTGCGCCTTAACACACCCACTGTCACCCATGTCACAAGTTTTGCTTGAGGTACAGTTTCCCCCAACCTGCTAAACCTGTCTTCTTGAAACTTGGCAAGCTTCATGGCCTCAGCAGGGGCTACTACTCCTGCAGTTTTCACCCCCCTGTGGTGTAACACATACACATGACATGAGTTTTGCTTTCAAGAATTTGCGGTGCAGTTCCAAAGTTGCAGTAAAAACAACCGTTATAGATAGTTCATTGATTCCCCATTATACCCCATGGCCAGATCTCTGAGGCAGCTCCAAAGCTTCGGAGACACTTCAGCCAGAACAAAGCAGGAAACCAATCCAGAGCTCTGCATCAGATCGCTGACATCTGAAGCGGCTGGATCTGAAGCCAGATCAAATAGCTGCCTACTCGCACAGGCCTAATAAATATAATGAAAGCATATATGAAGGGAGATGGACTCAACCCTATCTGATACTCTAAAGCATCTCTTTCTTTTCCTCTAACAATAATAATTATTTAAAAGTGAAAGAGAGGTTATCAAACGATCCTTACTTATCTTGCAATTACTGCACTCAAGAAGCTGAGGGGAACTTGCAAACTTACAAAGTCTGTTCCACGAGGCAACATTACACAAGGTTTTTGAGCAGCCTAGATTTATAGCTTGGAGTAGTGCTGACCTGATTTGTAGTATCATCCGGGCTTGTTGTATTGTCAATTTAGTGGAAACTGGATCAATTAGTGGTGCTTTGCAATTTCCTAAGAATGTGCACAAAAGGGCTGCATCCTGTCCTTGAGTACAATTGCACACAGTGCTCTAAGGAAGCAAGGATACAAACATTACAACTCCAAATGGATGACATTAGAGGGGATATTTTTTGTTGTTGTTGGAAAAGAGACAAAAGATAAATTAGGGTGATAATTTGTAAGCCAGGGAGAAAATCAGCTAACTAATCAATAACTTCCATGTTTCCAGATGGCATTTCCCCAGCTGCTGAAGTCTCAAAATATCACCCTGATGGTCTTACCAGAACGGGCATGCACAGCCAGCAGTTCAGAGAGTTTAACTTTTCTTAAGGCTCCAGGGTGACAGATGAGCATTACTGGAAAGTATAGTCATAAACAGCATAAGGAGTCAAAACAAAGGTTAAAAGTAAAATGAATACTTCTTATAAAGAAATGCACTATCCAACTCTTGAACTGTTTAAGTTTTATACATGGTCCAATAGGTAGATTATCCTTCCCTTAACTCTCCCTACATCTAGCAAATGAAACAGATAAGATATGCAAGACAATCTCCCAAGGTACTCATAGATGCAGATCAGTTGGGTCGCTTGGGGTAAAAATAGATGTTGCCAAATGGAGCAGATCAGCTGTGCCAGGATGTGTCCTGACACAGCTGATCTGCTTCACTGGGCAAAACATACATTGCCCATTGTCACACCCTTTGTTACTGAGAAACAATGGGCAACGTATTCTCCCAGGGCTTGAGGGAAGTGATCCTGTGCACCCTGGGAATTCCTGTGCGGTATTGGGAGCCTCAAGCCCTTAGAGTACCTGCCTGACTTTTCCTGCTTACCAAGACGCACTCCAGAGAGCCTAGGGACTCATGTCAGTATGCAAGAAAACCCCAACTTCCCCTGCTTCTGGAGGCACACACCAGGAATTCCCTGGATGCACAAGATTGGGTCCCCCAGAGCACCCAGGGCAGCTGGAAAGTGCAAGCAGCTCTGAGCTGCCTGTGCTCTCACACCACAACATAAACAGATGTCCATCATTAAGAATGGCACAAAATGATACTGCCTTAGTTGTGGTAACTATTTGTGGTGTGACAAGTGGTCTGGATATCTGTTTGCTTGGCCTTTGTGCCATCAAAAATGTTTTTATGAAGGTACAAAGGTGATGTCTATTCCCAACCTTATGGGCACTTAGGGTCAGAAAGACACTGGCATTCCATAAGAGAAACTCCACTTCAGCTGCATCATCAGCATTAAAGTAAGGCTCACGGGCTGGTCTGTGAATCTTCTCCCACAAGGGCAAGCAAAACTTCCAGGTACTAGAACAGTGCATATGTTGTAAAGCACACAGAATGATCTGTACCACTTTCTGTTCTCCTTTAGGGAAGACTGCACTGGTTGGAACTAGCTGGATGACACGGTGGCTTAGAGACAGGGACAACAGAGTTATTTGTTAGCTATGACCCCAAAATTTTACTTGCCCCTTTTCAGCAGCAAAAAATGTCAGAAGCAAATGTCTCAGCTTTCAGAGCATATTCTGTACTAGCGTAGAAACCATTCCTCCTTTTTTGATGACTGAGGTCTCAGTGCCCAGCAGGATTAACACCCTGGACAAATTTTAAAGGTACCAGCACCTAAGCTAGCTAGCAAATCTTTTACACATTACTGTACATCTTTAACTACACATTCACAAGTGCAACTAACTGTGCAAAGAAATGGGCAGTGTGAACAGGCAAGACGCCCTTGTGAATGTGCAGCTTTCAGATTTGCATGTCAAAGTAAATGTATGTTTGCACATCTGCACATATTTTACAAGGATATCTTACTGCAAATATCCATCTTTTAAGTAACCTAATTTGCAAAAGTTTGTGCAAGGACATTCCAAGAGAGTTAATCAGCTGTTTAAAGAAATTAGAATAATGTAGTATTGGGAAGTACAAACTTTCCCATCTTTTCTCAGCTGATCCTGGTCTGGGAGTAGTCTTCAAGCAGGGGGTGTCAAACTCACCTAGAGCCCTGAGCCAAATCTGGACCACAGGGCTTCTTGTAGGCCAGATTCAGCCAAGGCATGAGGGCTGCCACAGTGGCCACAATGAACAGTAGTGGCAGTGGTGAGGGGTCTGGCTGTGGTGAGGTAATTGCAACAGGTCTCAGGTATTCCAGGGGCAGTAGTGGTGATCCAGACCTGTCACTGATGGCCATGCCCAGATGGGCTAAAGAGCCCTAGATTCTGTGGCAGACCGTGCCCGCAGTTTCCAATGCCCACCAATAGCCCAGCACGCCAGGTAGAGAGACTCTGTGCTCTATATGTTTCACACCCCTGCCCTAAAGGACAGAGTAATTTGCATTCCTCTATTACCTGTGTCCTCTCTGCTGGACAAAGCCAATATAATATTGTTTTTGTGCTGTGTGCAAATGTGTCCATAAGTACTGGAATGACAGCCACCAATTCATTTCATATAGGTCAATGAAGAGCTCTTATATACTAACAACTTTTGGTCACTGTTCATGGAAATTTGATTTGAACCGGAAACCTGTTCTTCAGGGAAAATACCATATTTTCTCACATATAACACCCACCTTTTCCCTCATGACCAGCTGCTAGAAATTGAAGTGTGAATTATTATGCAAGAAATATGGTAAGAGCATCTGCCACTTACTGGGTGAAACCAAAAGTAAAATCTGCAGGGATCCACAGGGAGCAGAACAAAGAACAGGCTCACCTCCCTAGCTGCTGCTAGTTGCTTACTACAAGAAGAGATTTTTTTTCTTCATTATGCCATTCAAAAATAAGGTGTATATTATTTTCAGGGTATGTTGTATACAAGAAAGTGTGTTATTCTATCTCCTAGTGCTTATCTCTCCTTTCCTCTGTTGTTTTAAATAGCATTAAAATGTTTTATGGCTTTGTTTGTGATATTATTACTTTTTAAAGAAAAATGGCTGTTACGCATGAAGGCTAAAGTGCCTGAGATAACTCATGCTGCAATAATTTTAAGACTTCCCTTGTATTAAATGTGAACTTCAGTCAACAGGATTTTGGAAAGCTAATAGGGTGGAGGTAAGGTCAAGCACAACACTAATGTAATCTTCCTCTGTTCCCGTTGTCTCATTTGTTAGTTGTTATTATTATGGCTTGGGTCAAAATATTTGAAAGGAATCACATTCTTCCTGCCAAAAACCATAGCAGTAACAGACAAAAAACAAAAAGAAAAAAGAAAAAAAAAAATCTGAAGAGCAAAATTATTCTGAATTATTATTACTCTTTTATTATTACTATTATTATTACTCTTAGTGATTACTGTAGTCCTTCATTGCCTGCAGTGTAAAAATCTGATATATACCCAGAAACTATCTGGAAAATGTCTGCGTAATCGAGACATC